TCCAGCTCATGCATTTCATGCAATGCCAATGTGTGGCTATGACACGTGACAGGACAAATCTCGGCATGGCGATGTAAGTTTGACTCGGACTGCTCAGCCCTCCAACATACAGTGTGCTTCCAAGGACGTGACGCTGCAACAGCCTGTGTAAGCCTGCCAGGTTTCTGCACCGAAACGGCCATCTTGCAAGACTGCAAGAGTCATGCGACGCGGGCCTTTCAGGAGGGCACCAATGCGGTGACCTGAGGACATGCTGAATTGCCAATAGAAGCTCTCACAGCACCTTTTTAACATACACACCCACCCACACGCTTCGCTTCGCTTCTCGGGGAAAAGGTCCACTAGGTGGACCCGCCCCTAGGCGCCCCCCTCCCCGACCCACACACTCTCCCTCGCTCTTTTTTGTCCCAAGGGCTAGGGGCAAAGGGACCATCCCATGCGCATTCACGTTTTGTGCGCGTCTTGTGGTCCGGCGGTGCCACACAAATACATGCGAACGCGCACAGACAGACAGACACGCACACACGCACGCACGTGCGCATGCACGCACGTACGCATGCACGCACACGCACACGCACACGCACGCACACGCACACGCACACGCACACGCACACGATCGCACACGCACACGCACACGCACACGCGCACACGCCCACACGCACACACGCACACGCGCACACGCGCACACGCGCACACGCGCACACGCGCGCACGCGCACACGCGCGCATGCGCACACGCGCACACGCGCACACGCGCGCACGCGCGCATGCGCGCACGCCCACCCGCGCACCCACGCACCCGCCCACCCCGCACCCAACACACCCACACCCACACCACACCCCCCCCACACACCCCCACACACCCCCACCACACACACACACACCCCCACACACCCCCACACACCCCCACACACCCCCACACACCCACACACACCCCCACACACCCACACACACCCACACACACCCACACACACCCACACACACCCACACACACCCACACACACCCCCACACACACCCACACACACCCACACACACCCACACACACCCACACACACCCACACACACCCACACACACCCACACACACCCACACACACACCCACACACATCCACACACACACCCACACACACCCACACACACCCACACACACCCACACACACCCACACACACCCACACACACCCACCCACACCCACACCCACACCCACACCCACACACACACACACACACAAACACACACACACACACACACTTGCTTATGCCCGCATTCTCTCTCTCGCTCGCCCTTTTTCCGCAGGCCTAAGAGACGGGGAGGGACCCCGTGTCGCCTGCTTTGAATGATAACTTCGATGCGAGAATGGTTGACCTTGTTTTTGTATGTTTCTATTTGGGGCTTCTTGATTTCTCGAATGGTTCTGGTATGTTCTGGTGCTAAATTTCACGAGTCAGCCGGGTTTGACAGAAACATACAGAAACAAATTATAACTTTCTGGGATCCCCAAGCAAGACTCACGGGTCTGGTCGCATTTTGGATAGGTGGGGCAAGTGATTTTGTGTCCGCATGTTCGTTTGTCTTTGACATCAGGTTTGAGCGGCAATCATGAAGTCGACAAGAAAAGCCTGAACGGGGTGTTAATGACATGAGCGCGCATCAGTAGGTGTCCGTATTGAAGTATTGAAAGCTTCAAACTCTGTGAACACGTTTAGCCTTGTCCGGGTACACCAACATGAAAAAGGCAGTTCTTTTGTTGTCATTCTGCTATTCAGTGAAGTGGGTGATCACCAGATGCAGCCTCTGCGAGTGTGATGAGGAGCAGAAAGAACGGCAGGAGCGGGAGCAGCAACAGCACAAGTCGTCACAGGTACCTAAGGTAGCCGGATGGTAGGAGCAGCTGTTCATTCGAAAAGATTTCTGCGGCCTTATTTGATTCGCGCCCCCGTGTTGAACTGCTCAGCCGGTTGTGGCAGCGGCCCCCCGGTTACCGACATTGCAAATATGGTTCGTGCTGTCCATATCATCATATCCATGTCATTTCTATGCTTATACTCATGACGAGCCTCAAGGTGGGTCCCTGAAGCGAAATGGGCCGCAGCTTCTCAGCTTCGAACGAGTGCCGTGCTGGCTTAAGCGGTCTCATCTGACTAACGGCAAATTAACGATTGCGGTCTACGAGGCATTGCTTGTCAACAACACATTTTGTGGTTTTGTTCTTGATCCGCAAAACGCGTAAGTCGCGCAACAACTATTTTAGCAACCGCACGTGTTAAAAACATACCGGTATTCAACACAACAGTGGCAACTAGTTGCAGCAACGAAGTCCCCATTCCGATCCATTTCGTGCTGGAGCCAGTGGAGGTGGCCTTGTTGGGATCACTATGTAAGGCTCTATCGGTGGCCGGGCGGCTGCAGCTTCTATGGCCGATCCTGCCTGTGGCGCCACCAGTCTCGATGCCCTGAGAAACAGCGAAAAAGGCTTTGGCAGACTACCCCAAGAAGTTGTACAGTTATACTCTTACTGACTGAGCTCCCCATATAAGGCCCGACCCGTCAAATTTCGCAGGTTTTGGGGGCTGTGCCTTCGAAATGCTCGAAGTGCCTGAAGCACCCTACAAGTTTGCGAGGCCCCTCAAGCTCGTCCGTCTGGGGGGGGATACTGGACCGCAGCCCACACTTGCAAACACAATGCCCGACTGAGCGGCTTGGAAAAGCTTTGTCTGGGGATTGACGCACACCTTGTCGACCGCATGCAGTTTTTCACCCTTAGCTTTGCAGTGTGTTTGCTTTGAAGCTGCCCCTTCTGCGGGAGTTCCCACTACGGGGTCCGCAGGCTGTGTGATGCACAGTTTACTTTCTTTCTTTCTTTCTTTTGCCAGGCTTGAGGGCGCACCCTCGTGGGGTACGCCTGTCTGTTGGCGGGACACCAGGAAGTTTCCACAGAAAGCGCTCCGACAAACTTCAGGCATTGTGGCGAAAACCGCATGTGTGAACTCACAGCAGCGAGGAATGTGTATCTTGTTTTCTCTTTCTTTCCCCATTGCTGTGGTAGCCTCTTGTGTTTTGTCTCTCTCTCGCTCTCTCCTCATGCCGCTTGAGCTGGGCCGGCCGACCCTTGTCAGCAGGGCATTTCTGGCAGATCCTGACAGTAGTTGTGCAAGCCTTGGCGCAAGGACAAAATGTCTCCTGCGGTCCTTGTGGGAGCCGTGGTGGCGTCTGGTCGCAGCAGCCCCGCTGAGATCTGCTCGGATCCTAACATCCATGCTCCACACAACAAAAAATGCAACACACCAACTATCGCACAATGCCGCCTTCACACGTGGCCTCATGGCCGCCATGAAGCTCCACGCTCCTGTCAGGCATCAAACTTGAGAGATTCCTTGTGCCATATCACCCATGAAGCTTTCTAGAACGCCGCCTGCTTTGGCGATCCACTGCGTCGATCTCAAGCAGGCCCTTTTGAGCTCTGCTCTGTCGGCAGCAATGATCTCTCTGGCCTGTTCAAGTTCTGCTGGTCGTTATAAGGAAAGATTCCTCACACGGCCCTACATCATCGTGTGAGGTTCCATTCTTTATTTGGTGCGACGATCGTTCAAGTGACCAGCTTCAATGGAAGAGGCACAAATGGTTTGCAAAGTGCCTGGAGAGCTCGGCAAAGCAGAGGCCAAGGTTGTGGTTGCCATGCTCCGGACTCGGAGCCGATCTGTCCAGCAGGCAGCGAAGGTGAGACTTGCCAAAACATGCCAATAGTTGAGCATGGTCTCTGGTTCTAAGACTTGGAAAGAGCAAACATGCTGACGGCCCCGCCGTTGTTCTTCGACGTTCTTGGTGTAGGCTTGCATAGCCTCTACAGGGGACACTGCTCGCCACGTTCTGCAACACACCCGGGCGAATGAAACATCGAGAGCAAAATCCACTACACTTTCTCTGCTCTCATGAATACCTTAATTGTTGACCGAAGGTGCCCGCATCCTGCCTGGAGTCTAATCACCTTGTTTGCGCGACGGAAGCATCAGCGGCTGCTGAACACTGTGCTTGACTCTCTTTGTTGCCAAGATACGCCGGCGCCACCGGCGCGACCGGTGGTGGTGGCGGGCGCGGCCCTGGCGGTGGCGGTAGCGAGCACCTGAACGCTGCGTAACGCCTCCAAAGCCTTTGGATCCTTTCGGAAACCGATTCCCGTGTGCTGAGCAGTCAACTCTGCCAAAATGCTGTCGCCTTGGCTCGCAGAGGTTCCCAGTTGCCTGTGATTCTTGTGCAGAGTTGTCGTGGCCGCACATCTGCCAAGACACACGAGATGGTTCCGGTAAAGTCGAGAACGGAAGACATCATGATGGTCCTGTACAGCTGGACATCTGCTACTATGAACTTCACTCCACACAACAGAACTCAGGCCGCAACATGATTTTCTGAAGGACAGAGACAAGGCCAAGGTGGCCGGCTGCGGCAGTTTCTCTGAGCCACGGCACAATACAGCTAAGTCTGGCGAAAGCCGTTGCAGAACAACGCTTGCGCTTGCTGAAGGCAGTTGACCTTATGGTGAGGGAATTCCGGTTCTCGATTTGGGCTGAACACTGGTTGGTGGCGTGTGGGACACGTTCAAGCCAGAAACGGAAAAGTGCCCTTCCTGCTGTTTTATTGCCAGACCATATGTTTCAATCTCGCGGGAAGTAGCGTGAAGCGAAGTATGCTGTTCTGACTTAGCCAGAAGTGCAAAATTTGATCAATCTCTTCACTCTTTGAGTGTCGGAGAGCTCGGATAAAGCAATGTCGCTCGGAATGGAGATTGTCACGTCTGGGACTCTGGAACCAGATACTGCAAAGGAGGGTTTGTGTCTACTGTAAGTATGAAGATTGTAGCCTCCTGACATCGCCAAACTCACATCTTGCGCTCGTGCAGAAGCACGAACTTCGCAAATTGGCCGTGGGTCCAACTCCATCATCCTGCAGTCCTGTAAAGCCGTCGCTCGGCCACACATTCTCTAACGGCAGCGTCATGAAGAGGCTTTCACTCACATTCTGCAAGCTTTCCAGACTGACCCATGGCATGAGAGAGCAGGGCCATGCTCGCTTGCAGCACCAGCTCTCCCACTGCATCCCTTCCATCTACACTCTGCGGGGCGGTTGGACAAGGCTCCTCCAACGGCATGGTTTCTACGTCATCTGCTGAATCAAACTCGGGCTTCAGCACAGGATGCTGCGTTTGGACTGGCTCTCCAGCGATTACATGTCCAGTGATAATATCGCTCTGCGGTTCTCGCCGGCTAGCCTCCGACACTTCTGGAGGTTGCGCCTCCACTTCTTGCGTGCCAGGCGGGTGCAATAAGCGGGGGAACCACTCCGGCACCTCTCTCACGCTCGAAGGCTGGGGAGGCAGAGGAAGGGTGACGAATGTGGGACTCTCTGCACGCAAGGCCACAGGTCCTGCTGCAACACGGGGTCCCCCCTGCAACATCAGCTGGATGCACTCGCCCCCCTCCAAATTGTAAAATTCGAGTGTGTGCTGATTCTGGAGTCTTCTGCCTGTATGGAACAGTATTTGCTGCTCCGGGCTCACTTGGAAGAAGTCTTTGAGTTTTTCTTTGAGTTGGCCAATAGTACGAGCCTTCTGCAACCAAAGACGCTGCTTGCGTTGCGGTGGCCATGTCTGCAGAATCGTCAAGAAAAGACTCTCGCCTTGACAACGATGCTTCTTAGCACTGGCATCCAACTGAGCTCTGGGTGCTCGGCAGCCAGACACTGCAACGGACGGATTCGGCGCACTGGCGGCCCCATTTGTACAGGTGACTTGGAGGATGGAGTTCTCCCGAATTCCACAATCGGACAGCCGTCGTTCGTTTGCCAAGGTATGGCCGCTGAGAGTCAGGCGTTGACTATCCAGCTTCAAGCCAGTGAGCTCAGCAATCTTTGTCTTTGCGTGGATGACAAGATCGCATGGCTTTAACTGGATGACAAAAGGCTCCGCAATACCAGATCGAGTCGCATCAATTAAGATATCCAGAAGGCGTGCGTGGCCGACACCGGTCGCGATCGTAACATGAATGCACTGCCGTGCTTCCACGCCGCCATCCAGTAGGGTCTGGCGATTTCCGAGGATTCGGCCCTGGGGCCACAACTTGGTCTACTTATGTCTTCTTACTACTTACGCAATCTCATGTGCTCTTATGCAGTATATTAGCGGCTTTCTGACTACATCTTAGGTCGTTTGAGGGCCTTGTAGGAAAGGGTCATCTCCTCTGCGGGGATTCCAAAGATGCCTTCGGCCACCTGCTTCACGGCGGCAACTCGCAGTGCCAGAACCAGGCGCAGCGGCACCCGCTCACCGCTGATGCCGTTGCCTCAAAGACACAGGACGAGCCGGCCCGGGCCGGAACGCAGGTCGACAGTGCTGCTTTTGCTGCTAGCTTTACCTCTCTGCCGAGGGGCACATGAAAAGAAGACTCGGCTGATCTGTAACTTGGAGCACTGATAGCTTGGCATCGTCTTCTGCCCAGTCTAGGAGTCGCGTGGGCTCGGTCTGGATGGAGCCGCACGAGCGAAACTTCTTGCGGGCCTTATCGAGATACAATCCGCCGACAGTGAGACAATGTGCAGTAACGCTTCTTTTCAACCAAGCGGCTGCATGGGATGTGGGCATGATGGACCGCCATGCAGGTTGTAGATTATGGATGTAACAAAAGGCAGGAAAAACCGCATGAGAACGTGCTCGTGCTTTTGAGTGCACCACTCCAACAACATTTCATGATTTGCTCTATCACTCTAGAGCCTCTGAAGGCTTCATTGCCATGTGTGCTGGATGGCCGGATGAAACAGCTGAGCGGCGATCTCGACAAGTTCTGTGCAGATTAGGTCACCATCTCGGCCCGCATCGCATGCGGGCTAACCGGACAACTGCACACCAAAACATCTACGTAGTCGTGATGGCTGCTACTACTGTACAGCCGCGTAGCCTGCTGCTCAGCTATGCAGGCTAATAATGGAGGGTTGTGGCGAGGGCGAGTCGATGCCAAGCCCAAGGCAAGATCTTTCATGTAAGATCCACAGGTATCTGCTGTTTTCGATCTTACCCTGCAAAGCTTCGCCACTTAACTTCCCCTGAGACACAGCTTCACTACAGCTCCTTTTGAGTCGTCCGGGGCGCAGTCGTCCATCGCATTGCAGGTGCAGCAGAACTCTCTTTCCGACCCCTGCCGATATGAGTTGACAATCTAACCCGTTCCAATCACTAGGCTTTATGCGAACTCTTGCTGCACCCGTGTGGGTCGGATGTTTGTTTCGGCAGGGTGGCAGAAAGGAAGCCTTTTGTTCGTCCCTGGAAATACCCCGGAACTGTGGAGTTCACTGCAGGTTGTATGGTGTAGCATGGTGTATCACGATGAACCTGCTGTGGACCCAGAGTTACCAGAGAACCCAGGGCGCCGTGCCGTCCCCTTCCAGGAGGGATCAGGGATGCAGGCCCGGATGGTCGTTGGCCTAACAATGCAAGTGCCCACAGCAGAGCAGCCTGAGCAGCCTTTCTTGGCACCTGCTCGGCAACCTCATGTCCAGCGCCGCCAAAGGCTTGAGGCCCCTGCCTCGAGCATTCGCGGGGTATTTTCATGCAATCTTAAGCAACATTCATGGCCGGTCGCGCAGGGCAGCAGTGACAGCGAATGCAACTTGAGGACGTGGCATCTCTTTCGAGCTGGCAGGAGCCGTGGGCGCTGTCGGAAACCAAGTCACAGATGATGCCCTCGTTGTCAGAAGGGCACTTTAGGAACTGCGGACGGTACAGGTTTGAGAAAAAAACAAAGACAGGTGGGCGACACACAACACCAAACCGAATGGGGAAGCTGATCACGCGTTGTCGTTGTTCGCCGTGACTAAGACTGTTAACATCACAGACAAAACGGATTGTGCGCAGCTGCTCCGACAATGACTAAATTCTCCGCATGCGTTCTTTTCGACATGTCTCAGAGGACCAGTCGGGTCTCTGCATGGCATGTCACGAAATAACAACGGCCGCGATGCAACAGCGGAATGATTGTGCAATGGTGCTTTATTGTTCGACATTTGACGAAACTTCCGGACCCATACATATAATCCAACAAATGATACCAGTCTCTAGCAGGACGGAGAATGAAGAATGCCGGCAAGTTGCCGAGACTGCTTCTTGTGCAGGCATGCTCGTCACTCGAGCGTGCTTCCTTCGTGTCCTTTGCCACGTGCCACAACTTCACAATCTCTGTCAAGCTGTATGGCAGTCGGAAATGGGTCTGGAATTAGTTTGGGATTTTTTTTTTTCATTTTTTTTTTTTTGGTGGTTTGCTTGGCCGATCCCTGTGGAGGGTTCATCGGGGACGTAGAAAATTTGCACCGCACCACAGCGCCAGCGCTTCGACGCGCAGGATCCCTGTGGAGGGTTCATCGGAGTTTCCTTGATGTCGTCGTGGTCGTCGTCCTGGTTGTTGTTGTTGTTGTTGCTGTTGCTCTTGCTGTTGCTGTTGTTGTTGATGATGTTGTTGTTGGTCGTGGTTGTTGTTGTTGCTGCTGCTGTTGTTGTTGTTGTTGCTGTTGTTGCTGTTGTTGTTGTTGTCGTTGGTTGCTGTTGTTGTGGTTGTGGTTGTGCTTGTGGTTGACAGGGTGAGGGATCAAAAAAAATTTAAATAAGGATCAAAAGATTAACGCACCAGGGTCAAAAAACTAAAACAATGATGAAAAAAATAAGTCACGTAAAATACAGCAATTCCTGGGGCAGAGGCATAAAAGAAAACAAAATAAGGATCAACAAAATTGAATCACTCAAAATACAGCAATTCCTGAATTTCCCAAGGGAAAACATTATTTTCCTATGGATTTTCTTTCATTTCCTTAGGATCTGATTGGTTTTCCTCGGGGAAACACGATTTTCCTACGGATTCCGTGGTATTTCCTGAAATTTTCCCTGGTTTTCCCTAGGACAAACACCATTTTTCTATTACCTATGGCATTCGTGTCATTTCTTCAGGTTTTCAGAAGGAAAACATACGTTATCTTTGGTTGTTCCTCGGGAAAATCAAATTTTCGTTGCAATTTCGCATTAGGACGGAATTCGTGTTGTAGCTGTTGCTGGTATTCCGCTTCATCACCTATCTTAAACACCCCCCCTCATTTGGCGATTCTGGTTAGCGGGGGGGTTGGGGGGGGCAGCAGCCCCCCATTTGCAGACACAACGCTCACATGATGGGTTTCGAAAACACTGTTTGAATCAAGCTTGCACGGCTCGAAAAGCGCGGCGGTGGGTCTTTCGTTCTTCCGTGCCTGTTCGTGTCTCTTCTTCCGTCAGCATTCTATAACATAATATAACATAGTCAACCATAAGAACGACATAAGATGGTTCGACATCACAAAAACCGTGTGACATTTTCTGACATAACAGAACCTTGCTTCTTATAGCATCTAATAAACATAACAAACGACGACAATACAATATAACAGAAGATAACATAGAACAAAACAAGATCTTAGTTTATAGTGTAGTACATTGTAACATAGTACAATATAGTTTTTATATATAGAACATAATATTTGGTATATTATATAACATCAGGTTACATTATGCTAAATATTTTAGGGTCCATTACGA